TCTATACGTATCTGATTGATGACTAGCCTTAATCGAAAGTTCTCTCTCGTTAGTGGGAGAGGTAATTAACTATAGGAGCTTGCGCATATAGGAAACCAGAGCTCAGATCATAAAGTCCTCACAAAATGAGGGCGAAATATCTGGGTAGTGTCTTATCTACAAACTCATCTGCCTTCCAAAATTTACCCCGGAACTTATTTCGTTAAAACTCCCTCGCCGAATAAAAAGAAAAGCGAGCGGAGGCCGAGGCCGAATTTTCGGAGCCCACACAAGATAAACCGTAGAGGGGGATAACATCAAAACAACCACCATAGAAAAATAAAATAATTAAAGTCTCAGATAAGGAAAACATGTTTTGTTTAAAATCGTCATCCCTCTCAATAACCTAGGTCAATTCAATGCAAAATATTTATGGAAATAAATTAATTGACACCCCAATTAGGCCATCGAATCAGTGTAACAATTAGCTTCATGGTAAGTATGAGATGAATAAAAACTAAATTCTAAAGACTTTTATTCACCTCTCTAATAATATAAAAATTCTCAGGGTTATCAGAAGAATTGTAATTAATACAATGTAAAAGAATCATAGCATCAAATTCCATCTAGTTATCTGTAATCCCCAAAGCATAACACAAATGGATGCCATAAGAAAGAGCCTTAAGCTCTGAAGTAAAAGCTGTGCAATTCTTTAAATGACCAACAAAAGCACAACAAGCATTACCAAGATGATCTATAATAATCCCACCACAACCAGCAGATAAATTATTAATAGAACCATCAGTATTCATTTTAAACAAAGGAAAGGAAGGTTTAAGCCACCTTATAATCCTCTCCTTTTTATCAATATCTTGCACGCCTAAGAAATAACAAAAGTATGAGCAATATATTTATAATTCTTAAAATTAATAGCAATGAGAAGGTTAACGAAAAATAATTGAAGAACTTTGTCTTTCACTTTAGAAATCATATATTGGAAATCCATCCTAATGTTTTTATGTTTAGAATCATTATGTTCCATTCCCAAATACCACATAATAAGAACATGAATAAGGTTCTTGATGTAACCTTTAACAGAAGAGAACCAAGTGTGCAAGATAGAGGAGATA